TTAAGCATGAATGCAGTTATTAGCAGCCCAATAGTTTCTAGAGGTATCAGGAGAGAGCGAGGACTGACGCTGCTCAGCCCCTAACCTAGTCTTGATTTTAGCTGGTGTTAATTTTGCACCAGGATTTCTCTTCAATAGGCTTTGAATGCAGAGAGTGGGAAATCTTACTTGCAGATGTAAGTCTCATTACACAGACGGTTAGGTTTCTGACTGCTGCTATTTGTGTGGGCAAATTTATTAAGGGTAAGAGAAGAAAGAGGGATATATTTTGAACACATCAAATCCTGCTTCCCTATTTAGAACCAGGCTATTTAAAAACAAACAAGCAAACAAATAAACAAACCAAAAAAACCCTGGAACCGGACATCCTATTCCTCAGTCTCTTTAAAAAAACAGGTCTGGAAGTTTGTTAGCCCATTGCAGCAATAGCGTTTCTTTAAAAACAGGCTGGGATTTTGTTTTTTTGTCTTTTTGTGAGACTATATCCAACATTTAATTTACTAGGAGTATTGTTAAAAATCATGTTATCCATTACCTTGCAGGAGTGACTTTAATTTTGCATTTATTATTTTTGTGTGTGGAATAACTGCTTTGTATTTCTTTCCCCAAATAAAATATTTATTAGTAAATATTGCACCGCACAAATTAATGCTGTTTGATTTCCTTCTGGGCGTCCTCCTTTTTTCAGCATTAATGCTTAGACTCACAGTAAGCACTCTCAGTAGTTTGCGTGTCTCATTTGGAGAAATACCTGCCTTCAGGCAAAAGACATGAAAGCCCAAGGGCTACACAAAAGGCTGAGTGTATGGGAAATCTTTGTTTTAACCCAGTGCTAAAAGGGGAACTGCACTGATAGCTGCTGTCCTTCAGGTGGGACAGGAAAAATCCCACCTCTGTTGGCTCTTCGGATCTTGCGGAAAACATCCCAGGAGACTTCCCTGATGAAACGAGATTACCTGTTACCATGGTTTAGTTGCAATTTTATAATCTTGCCTTGAGTAAATAACAGGTTGTCTTGGCATGTTCCCAGGAACAGGACAAGGAGACAGGGACTCCTTCCCTGCTTAATCGAGGGCCAGCAAAATAACCCGAGCTGCCAGTCAGAAGGAGCTTGGGATCAAGCTGTTGTCCTCCAAACCCAATGTCACCAACTAATCACTTGCTGTAATGTATCAATGACTATTGCTGGGGTATTTTTTTTATTCCTGGCTTTCTCCATCCTCCTGCTGTTTATCTATGAGGAGCTTCAGCCAAGCTAACCCAAGCCCTGGTGTTTCAGGGATTAATTCCCAGAAAAAGCTCAGAGAGGAACTATCAGCCGGGAACTGATTAAATGCATCTGAACTCAGCCCTGTGATACTCCTGGTGGGGTGGGAAAGACAGCAGGCTTTGCTGAAGTAAGGTTGAGATGAGGGTCTCCGGCCAAAAAGTACAGCCCTGCTTGATATTTTAAGTGATGTTTTTTGCTACCTTAGCCTTTGTCCAGCTACAAGCCGTGAAAAGCAGCTGCAGGCTGTTGTTAATAGGTAACAATTTGGCTCTAACTCTAAATCCTTTTAGTGAAATCCTGCAGGAGGTTGGTGATTTTGTAATCTAGTTTGAGCCTCTGGGAACTTTCCTCTGCTCTCATTCCACCCATATACCATGAATGCATCTTCATTAGTCTGTGCGTGTATCGACGTTGTATCTAACATTCGTAAGCGCTGGCAGGAATGGAAAATATTTAGCAAGAGGAATTTTACTTCTCTCCTCCCTTTGCTTATAGTTTGTGCTTGAACCATCAAACATATCTTCCAATAAAAATAACTAATGTGTTTATTTTAACTAGAGCTGTGTAAGTAATTTGCATTAAAGAAATTACTCTATTCATCTTTTTTAGATCAGGCACAAGTTGTGATTTTCTCATTTGTACTTACTGTTCAAAAAGATTTACTGAATATTTTTTATGAATGAATTTGTTGGCAATTCATGCAAGAAGACTGTGGTATAAGTATTAATTTAAACAATTAATTCTAATACATTTCAGTGTCTAGATTTCTTTGATGATTTTGAAAATCTCAAGATAATTAGTCAAAATCTGAGCTGTTTCTTTTCAGCAGGCAAGCTGCCATCTTATGAGACAACAAACAGCAACTATAGGGTTGTTTTTTCTGTGTTGTCTTGCTATTATAAATTGAAGCTGTGTTCTTCTGCAGTATTCTAGACTATCCAGTGGTGCCACTAAAGTTAGTGGGAAATATGTTAGAATTGGTAATGGGACTAGGATTTTATCCACTGTTTCAGCAAACACACAAGTCATCCAATTCCCTCACTGGTGAGCTGGAGGAAGGGGAACAATGGGACACCAACAAAGTCAAAGTTTTAATGTTAAACTATCAAGAGTAAATACTCAAGTAAAATATTTGGCAATATCACCCAGCTCTAATTTGCACATCTTAAAGGCTGATCTTCCACGTCCCCTCAAGTTCTTTGTTCGCCTGAGTCCCTGGATAAAGCACATGGAAAGTCAGAGGATATCTTATGTCATCACTATTTGTGTTAATGGCTTAGGAAACCCACAATCCAATCAGTTAAAATAAACAACCCAGTGTAATAGGAGCATAAATCAATGAAGACTTCATTACTGAAACCTTAATGTGTAATCCATCCACCTACAGAGGAAAGGGATACTGAGAGGCAGCAAGACAAAACCAGAGGACAGTCTGATTTAGGCAACCCTGATATTTAAAAATGTGCTGAGAACAGGAACTCTGCCTGGAGTCAGTAAATTTGGTGGGTACTCACCACATCTGACACCCTGCCCCTGACCATTAAGTCCCTATGCTAAAAAAAAAAGCCAAGAAACTCTTGGAAAGAGAGCTCTGATCACTCCACTTTTCTCTGAAGTTATTGGGAGACTTAAGACAGCTCAGGACTGTGGGCTAATGAACAAAGATATGAATTAGCAAGATTAGCATATGACTGAAACTATACACGTTACCTAGAAGTAACAATGCTCAGAACTGCTCTGACCCTGCTGCAAACCTTCCTCTCTGTGTGGTCCCTTGAGCCAGTAACACGGATTTGGAGCCCTTCTCCAAAATGAGGGTGGCAATTCTTGGTGAACAGAGAATTACTGAATTTCATTAAAGTCACATATTCTGTTTGTCTTGGCTCTGAGAGAAGCAGTAATCCTATCATACCAAGCCTTTTGATTTCAGCACAGTTCATAAAAGGGCTGAACTTTTATGTTCAGTGCAAAGATCTCTGCGTGTTGAGTTAATGTAGTAACGAATAGAAACAGCAGGCTCTCTCTCTGGGCATGGACCAGCTCTGAGATGGGGATGACACAAGCACTTTTCCTGTGGATTTTAGCTAACAACAAATGTGAGGTGAGCCTTTAGAAAGGCAGCATTGCTCACAGACTCAAGTCCCCCAAGTCCCCCATTTCAGACGTGATTCTCTGCTTCTTTGCTCCAATCTCTTATCCTTACCTGACTCTTCTTTCTTCCTTCCCCTTCCCCTCACCAAATCTTGTTCTTTTGTCTCACTCCCCTGCTGATACTCTTGTCCTTGTCGCTCACTTACAGCAGCATGAAATGTGTATCAAGCAGTTAATCACAGAACCACAGAATCACATGGGGTTGGAAGGGACCTCTGGAGATCATCTAGTCCAACCCCCCATCTAGTCCAACCCAGTTTGGTAGCACTGGTAATCAACCAAAACCTGCATGAAGGGAGTTCTGGTTTTCAGAGATTTGGGGTTGTTTTTGTTAATGATTATGATTATTTAAAAATAAGTCTAAGAATACATAATATTGAAGGTACAGAAGTTAGGAAACATCATCATTAATGTAGATATTGCATGCAGAAGATGGCACATATAATTTGCCAATGAAGAAGGAGGTTTGGCTGAAGCATCCTACATGAAATCTGCTACTGGTGGAAACCCGACTCTTCAGGCTGACAGTCACCTGCTGTGATGGTGAAGACTGAGCTTTTCCCTGCTTCATTCCCACATCTCACTCAGTGCATACCCTCCACAGCTATAATGGAGGAGGGAGGGGTATGATATGCAGCGCCCTAATTACCTGCACAATCCTCAGCACCACGTCAGCTTGTGCTGTGACTTTAGCAGAGATCAACTGGAGAAAGAAAAGTCCATTTGGCTTCATAGTCCAAAAGTCCAAGGCTGCACAAATGCAAGTTTTCTATTATATGGGAAACTGGGAAATTTATATTGTATTGTATCTGTACAGAAATTAAGAGATCTAGAACTTAACCCAAATGCCTCATAGAGCAATACAGACTGGTGATTAATTCATCACTCTCTGCAGTGAAATCTGGTTGGAAGAGGGTTAGAGAAGGGGTCTAGTGTATCACACAGATGGATGGTAGATATCATATGTTTCCTTCTCCTCAAGTACAGTATATCTTATTCCTCTAGTGCAAAACTTCAAGTGAATCTAAAGCAGAACGTGTGGTTCTTTCTTTGTCTTGATTAAAAATAAGTTTAGGGCATCGTTGTGCTCCCCATATTCCAGGCTTCCATGTGGTTGTAGTTGCAAGTTGCAAAGACAGGGAATTTTCTTCTAAATGAGATTAATATAATTTAAAAGCATTCTTTGTCAACTGCCAGTAATAAGGGATGTTTTTATGAAAAACCACCCCACATTTAATATTTCTGTGTGATACAGAATTTCTTCAGCTTTGAGGTAACCAGACTAAATTAAAAAAAAAAAAAAAAAAAAGAGAGACGTAATTTAGAATTTAGTTGTACATTCTGCGGAAATGCTACTGTGTATTAAATATTGTGCAGTATGATCAGTATGTCTGTCAGAGGCTTTTAAAATGTGTTATCAATATGGTTGCACATATTCACTGTCCAGATGGCACAAAAATTTCTCAATATCCAAACAAGGATCTGAGTACCTCTGCACTGCATAATGCACTGCAGCCTTTCGTATCATGAAGTTCTCTGTTCTGAATCAATCCCTAAATTCAGTGTGTTTCCATTGCAGAGCTCCTGTGACAAGGAAGTCATCCTGAATATTCTCAGTGTCCTCACTGACCTGCTCTCTCTGGGTAAGAAAGATAAGATCTGGAGCAATGCCTGTGGGCTAGGGGCAAAAAGGGGGTACTCAAACAGGTCAGGGAATTCATACCTGCATAAACTCAGCCAGGTGAACAGCTTGCAAGGTGAACAAAACATGAATTGTACCTGTAATCAGCAGTCCTTACTCTGGTGTTTGGAAAACTGAGTTTATCCAGCAAGTTAAAGAGAAAAAAAACCACAGAAAGTCTCCATTGTTTTTAGTTTAAAAGGTGCCTGTGAGTTTCAAGGTATTTCAGAATCCCTGTCAATCAGCCACTGGAAAATTTCACCAGCTCCACTGGAGAGAGGGCTGTGAGACAAGGAGAGAAGCCTGGCTTCCCAGAGCACAGGGACTCTCCCATGCAGGGAGTTCAGCATGTCCCCAAAAAGCACCTCCACCACGGGGCTGCAGAGAAGGAATGTTGCTGCATAAGCCTAAGCCACGTGAAAAAATAAATAAATTGGTGAAAGGACTAAAAAAAAAATAGTTTATTTTCCTTCCTGCTCCACCCCAAAAATGTCCTTTGTAAACAATTCTCAACCCAATCAAGCTGCCAGGCTGTGGGGGCTGTATTGGTGAGTGCTGGAGTCTCCTGCGTTCCCTATTACTCAGAACCCCACTGGAGACATCGCCCATCCAGCTGGGCCTCTCTTTTGAAGCCTTGCAGTGCTGTTCCTCAGCTAGATGGAAGGATTACCTACACAGAGTTTAGGAGGTACTGTCTCCCCTCCAGGAGATGAACGTGCGGCTTCCTCCAGTCACGGAGACCAAAGTTGCTGCTGAAGTCACTCATGGATCACTGTTGACACAGTAGGGCTCACAGGATTAGCATGTGGTTTCTTTGGAGACCTACATTTGTTTGAAAGCTGTCTCCAAAGCTTCCCTAGGATTCCTTTTCATTTGGCAGACGGCCGTTGCAGCTTTAGTCCTTTTCTTGTTTAATTTCCAGTATCTAAGAAAAGATCACTGAGCCTTCTGCTCCTTTGAAATCTGTTGGTGTCTCTGCTTATTCTTCTCTGCTGCATTTCAATGCACAATGGAAAACTTCTGCAGGACAGGGATTTGTAAAGATAACAACTGCCAGATCAAGAGGCAGCAGAGCGCATGGTTTCACCATGCAGCCATTAGCTATGTCTCTAGACCAGGGGCACCTGAGAGCCATGGTCAGTTCTACAAATGCCTTTATTATAGCAATAAAACAGCCTTGGAAGGTCATGGGAGCTTTGTGTGCTCCATGCGGGGTTGGGGTTTGCAGGGATGCTCTGAGCAGAGTCTCTTCTCTTTTCCCCAGGGACCGGCCGGAGGATCCACTACGTGATCAGCAAAGGGGGCAGCGAGGCACTGCTGCAGGCTCTCACCACCGCTGCCCGCGCCGAGCCGCCCGACCACAGCACCCTCCTGCCCCTGCTTCGCTTGCTGGCCAGGGTCGGCCAACGAGGTACTGCTGAGCTGTGGGGGCTTCTTGGGGGGGCAGCTCAAAACTAATGGACAGCCCCAGCAATAACCAGCACTGTGGTGCACCCGACAGACAGCTGTCAGGTTTTCTTTGGAGTGCACCCCTTGTTTGAGGTTTGGCCAAGTAGAGATCCTGCAACAAGGCAAGGAGGGCGTTGACATGCATAGAGCTGCTTCTCACACAGGCTTCATCCATTTTCTGCCTTTGACACATCATTCACAACATCCTTCTCTCTAAATTGGAGAGATACAGATTTGATGGATGGACTATTTGGTGGACAAGGAATTGGCTGGATGGTTGCATCCAGAGAGCAGTGGTCAATGACTCAATGTCTGGATGGAGATCAGTGATGAGTGGTGCCCCTCAGGGCTCTGTATTGAGACTGGTATTCTTCAATATCCTCATCAATGACATCGTGGGATTGAGTGCACCCTCATCAGTTTTGCAGATGACACCAAGCTGAGTGGTGCAGTTGACACACCTGAGGTTTGGGATGCCATCCAGAGGGACCTGGAAAAGCTTGAGAATTTGGCCCATGTGAACCTCATGAGGTTGTCTAAGGTCCTGCACCTGGGTTGGGGCAACACCTGGTATCAATACAGGCTAGGGTATAAAGGGGTTGAGAACAGCCCTGTAGAGAAGGACTTGGGGGTACTAATGGATGAAAAGCTGGATGTGACTTGGCAATGTATGCTTGCAGCCCAGAAAGCTGACTGTATCTTGGGCTGCATCAAAGGCAGCTTGGTCAGCAAGTTGAGGGAGGTGATTCTGCCCCTCCAGCCTGCTCAGGTGAGACCCTACAGGAGTATTGTGTCCAGTTCTGGAGTCTTCAGCACAACAAAGACATGAACCTGTTGGAATGGGTCCAGATGAGGCCACGAAAATGATCAGAAGGATGGAGCACCTCTCCTATGAGATCAGGCTGAGAGAATTGGGGTCATTCAGCCTGGAGAAGAGAAGGCTCTGGGTAGATCTTATTGTTGCCTTTCAGTACTTTAAGGAGACTTATAAAAAAGATGGGAACAGGCTTTTTAGCAAGGCCTTTAGCAGTAGGACAAGGGATAATGGCTTTAAACTAACGGAGGGTAGACTCAGATTAGATATAAGAAGAAATTTCTTTTGTTGAGAGTGGTGAAGTGCTGGCACATGTTGGATCAGAAGGATGGAGCACCTCTCCTATGAGATCAGGCTGAGAGAATTGGGGTCATTCAGCCTGGAGAAGAGAAGGCTCTGGGTAGATCTTATTGTTGCCTTTCAGTACTTTAAGGAGACTTATAAAAAAGATGGGAACAGGCTTTTTAGCAAGGCCTTTAGCAGTAGGACAAGGGATAATGGCTTTAAACTAACGGAGGGTAGACTCAGATTAGATATAAGAAGAAATTTCTTTTGTTGAGAGTGGTGAAGTGCTGGCACATGTTGCCCAGAGACGTTGTAGATGCCCCATCCCTGGAAACATTCAAGGCCAGGTTGGATGGAGCTGAGTAACCTGACCTAATTGTAGATGTCCCTGCTTGTTGCAGGGGCGTTGGATTAGATGGCCTTTAAAGTACCTTCAAACCCAAAACATTCTATGATTTGTATATGATGACTCTAGGTAAATCCCATGTTTTCCTGTTTTCTGTAAGAATAATGCTGATTGAACTTATTGATATATTTGAAAGCCTTTCTTGTGAGACCCTGACTTACAAGATTTGGTGCAATTATGTTTATCTGCACTGCTGCAGAGACCTGGTCTTTGTAATAGTTTGATTCTTATTTGTTTTTCACAGATAGGAAGTTTGGGCTGAAAGTGCAGAAGGCAGAAGCAACTGATATAATACTGAGCTTGGCAAGAAGAAACCTGGGCCACCACCTGCACCTCATCCACTGCCTCTGGGTCCTGCGTGTTTGTGCTTCTAATGGTGAGTGTCTGGATTTTCCTCCTTTCTGCTGCATGACAACTGCCAGAGTTCTTTTTTTTCAGTCATTTCAGTGCAAAGAAACATCACTTTTGATTAAGGTTAGTGCCTGAATACATCGTTAATATGCAGAATCAGGCATAAAAGCCAGAATCAACCATTGAAGGAGGTGTTTCCCAAGGAGTCTATACAGCCTTTACAGTGCATTTCATCTATGGGCTATGAGCACGAAAGCGCTGCTGTGAAAAATATTCATGGCTATGATCTCCTATTCTAGAATACAGTCAACTCCTTTGCTCTGAGACTTAGGTACAAGTTCCCTTTACCCTATTAGCCAAATGTCTCACTATTGTTGATTATATTGATCCTCAGAGCAGCTCCATTAGGGAGGGAAGTACAGGTGGAGAAACAGTAAGAGAAATCAGAGAAATTCAAGGTCTCTCAGGAAGTACATGTCAGATCCTGGTCTTCTGTCTAGCATCCCCACCCCCAACCTGCCCATGCACTCTCCCGGCTTTTCATGCTTGGCAGTGCCCTCATATTAAATGATTTAAGCAACGGGATTTCCAGTATTCTCTCCCAGGATCATTACAGATTTCTACAGGCTTTTCCTGCTAGAGACCACCAAGTTTGTCAGCACAAATTTCCCTCTGCTCACTCTAATCCTTTCCTCTCCCTTCCCACATCCCTCACCCAGCAGATAATTCTTGATGGCCATCCTGCCTGCCCTCTGCGATGTGCAAACCTAAGATTTAACACTTCTGGCACCCAGCCCTGCAGGTCCCTTCTATCTGTAGAGGAGCTAGCTTCATGCCATGGGCTTTCTCAGGCAAGCAGCCAAGCTTCAACATTCAGCCCCTCTCCCTGTGATAAGCAGCATTTAAAAGGCTGAGTGAGACTGAATCTACAGCCAAGGCCAGAAGCTTAAATGTGCCTTTATTTGGGTTTCACAGCTGTGCAGTGACCCTGTGTTGCCTTCCACCCAAAATGATGATCTACGTCCTTCCCTGCTCCAGTGCACCTGCATGCCAACTCAGCTGCAGTTTTTGCGGAGGTTTTAGGACACATGCTGCAGTTTGGCCTCCTTCCTGCTAATGCCAGACCCCAGAACCCCCACTCTGCTCCTTCGCTGGAGCATCTCTGTTATTCTCCAATTATCTTCAGAACTCTCCAGTTGTGCTTCCTCCTTCCATAATAGACTTTGACTCTGTGGCCCAGCTGGGAAGCTGCAGGGGAGGTTAGGTGATGGTCCGTGTGGATGTGATACTAAACTAAGAGATTACATGCTCCCAACCTTAAAAATTATTTTTATGGAGGCAAACTAGAGACGATCCAGAAACATATAAAGCTCGGAGAGTGCTTAGGTATGAAAGCAGAAAAGATGAGTCCTTGTCACAATCTCATGCACCAGTTCCTTGCTCCAGGTCACTCCCTTCACAATCTCTGCCACCAGTTGTGTGTGGCAGCCCACGTCCCGCTCCGGGGCAGGATGAGTTCAGGCAGCCTTGTCCACCGCTCTGTCTCTCTAATGAATTACCAGCTAGTGTAAAAGCAGCTGGCAAGCCTTGCGAAGCTTTCCATCACATGACAGCTTGGCGGGGACACGGTAGGTCTGCAGGAGATGATGGGCCCTCTGGCAGCTCTGTGATGACCACTGGGAGATATTTACAAAACAACCAAAACCCAGCAGTGGGCAGGCAGCCAGGTCTCCCTCTGGCTGCTCTTGATTACTGATCCCTTCACCCCACTCGCTTGCATTTAATATTTCAGGGCTGTATTCATCCCTTCTTTACACGAAAGCCTTGTCTTATGGAGGAGGGGGCAGGGGCTGGCTAAACACTTAGTTTACACATTGGGCATTTTTGGAATTGATTGAAAAATCTATGTATAAAGTTCCTAGTGTGTTAGCAAGTGAAGGATTAAAGGTAAAATTGGCCTAGCTGAAATTAAGCTGCATTCAGAAGCACTCCCTCCGAAAAAACCCCTCCACTTCCGTGCTGCTGAGTAATAGCACAGAAAGAAAACTGCCCTCCATGCCCCCATGAAATGAACCGTCCTCACAGAGTTGCCTTTGGGAAATAAGAGATGAATTTGAGCCCTGACATTTTGCTGGGAGATGACCCTATTTAACTATGATTTGTTCTCTGGAGAGTGCAATATTTACGGGAAAAGGGGCTTTGGGGAATTTGGAGAAGAACTACAGGATTTGAGATCTGCCTTTGCGTGTGTTTGTGGCTCAGGTTGTGACCACAGACAGCCGTGTACTTCAGTTTCTGTGTTTGTAAAATGACCTCTGAAGTCCAGCTGAGAGCCCAGAGAAATCTGCTCATGGCCCCAGGGGCAGCTACTCCTTTCCCCGCATCACCTCCAAACAAAATATTGCAGATTACCTGCTTCAGTTCTGACTGCTTTTCTCTTTTATTGTCTTAGTTACCACAGGAACTACACTTGGCATCAATGGAGCCATGGAGCTGCTTTTCAAAGTCATCACCCCCTACAGCAAGAGACACGTCAGGACAGTCAGGTAGGCAGTAACCCCAAGGGAACTCATCTTTCCAGGATGGCAAGAAATAAAATTTTGGTTCCACTTGAAAAGGCAAAGAAATCAGAAATGGATGCACAATTTCCACTCACTTTAAATCTGCAGGGTTTTTTAAGAGGCAGAAATAGTTCCCTGAAGGGCATGTTAATGCTGTGATTCATCATATGATTCATACTGGTGGCTGTTTATTTGTAGTGTACTCTGTACAGTGATGGCAGTTTGATTGCAAGGTGTCGTCCTTCATTTCCCAGTCAGGACTGGATTTTGAGAAGCATGAAAAACTGCTCCTGCCTACCCATTAGCCAGAGCCTCCTGCCACCACTGGCCTGGGGCAGGTACAGTGGAATCATGGCAGTGTTGTCTCATCCTCCTCTTGCAGACAGTTGTGACCAGGTCATTATGATATTTTTGAGGTATGACAGTTCTCACCAGTATTAATCTGGGTCTGTTTTTAAGCCCATCCCAAATATTTCAGATATTTTTTTTCCTGAAGAGAGTGAGCCCATTTTATATCTGTCTTAATGCTGAGCATTAGTCCTCAATTTGTCCATTCTGACCACCTCCTCAGTTGTCTTTCAAGGCAAGCTTTGTAATGTGGAAAACATCCACAGAAGGACACAACACATTTCTGTGGCTTGCTCATTTCAATCAGGAGGAAGAATTTACTGCTCTGTCCTGTGCCCACACAATCACATTTGCTTAAGCAACACAGAACCTGCCAGTTCTCCTGCTTATACATGCACTGTCCTGTGGACCATGTAGTCCCGACTTGTTCATGCATGTCTCAGCAAGGACATGGAAGCATCCATCAGTTTTGGCTTCTGCATGGACCTGACAGGGGTGCATTTCATGGCTGGTGATTACTGGGGAAGTAGCTTTAGGTTGAGTATCATGTGTAGGTGAGAAATGGATGGACAGACATGGCACAACAGTTTGACCACTACTTGCTCAGCTGTGGCTGAAGTGGGGGCCAGTCCCACTGGATGAGGGTATTGGTAAATGATGTCCATCCTGCTGTTACCATCAAAGACTGCTACCAATTCTCCCAATATCACCAGTTACGCAATACATTGCATGGGAAGGAATTTGAATTGCTTTCCACTAGCCACGAATTATGAACTTGCATGTCAACACATGGTACTGTTGTTTGCTAAATGCAGTGTTCTTCTAGCTCTGCTGCCTACATGTCTGGGGCTATAAAATTTTTTTAAAACAGTTTGCTTTGATAAATAAGATACTGAACGGGCCCAGCAGATGCACAACTTCCTGCAGCTGCCGTGTTAATGGAAGCCAACTCACTTTTGCCTGCTTTTTTTGGCTTTCTAGTGTAGTGCTAACTACCTGGAACTGCTTCACAGCTTCTCTAAGCTAGTTTACCTGTGATTCGTCTGTGTTCTGCCCAAAAGTATGATATCAGGATGTTTCCTGCACAGAGGTTTGACTATTACCCAACTCAAAGAATATTATTGCTAGGATGTTATTCCTGGGATAACTGAGCACCTTCCAACATTCCCCTCAGGCCTCATGTTATAACTTTGATCTTTAAGACTCAGGGAGCCTGGAGAACTGCTTTATATATGACAGAGGTGCCCAGGGTGAGTCAGACCCAGAGCTGGGTTTGACTTCTGAGGCAACCAAAAGTGATGGATGGTTCCATGCCTGTGCCTAAAAAAGAAAATTCCACTCAATTCCCTGATTTCCTTCCTATGGATGTGTTGGCTGTGATTAGACTACTGTTAGTTCTACTTCTGTAGTAGTCTCATAGGTCAGTGTGTAATGGCACTTGAGCTTGTATTAGTTCTCTGTTAAGCAATGGGACTGCCTGCATAAAGGCTTTTTAAATCAATTTTGTGCAAAGCTGCTTTTCCCCGTCACTGTTTCCTCTGCGGAAAGAGGGAAAACTTGGTATCTGTCGTGCATTTCTAGCCTGGCTTTTTGTTGACATTCGTTTGGAGATGCAGCCAGTGCTGCTGAGGGTTGTTGTAATATAGGCTGTAAAGAGGTCTAGAATACTCATTTATAAGCAGAAAGGGAAAGAAATAGCCTTCAGAGAAACACACTTTTGCTTTTGATTATTCTAGGCTGTCAATATGCAATATCTGGATTTATCTTCCTTTTATCTGAAGTACAATAATTATTTTGAACTCTTCTGTGGACCTTTTTTCCATTGGAGACATACTCACACAACAGAAAATGCAAACTCAATTTCCCTCAATAAAACTCCAGTTTATTGAGAGAACTTCAGTTTTATTGATAAGGCATTTTATTTATTTTTGAAAAGCTTCATTTTATTTTCCCTTTGAACAAGAGGTATCTTATACAATTAATTGTTATCTGCCTGACCTTTCTCATTGCTGGTTCATTTTCCTAATTCCCTTTTTTTCCTAAAACATTTGTACTCTTCTTAAAACATATTTGTATGAGCACACAAACAGATGATATCTTTCCTGCAACCTAGCTCACAGAAAAAGGTGATTTGGCTCCCACCTACACTTGGCTTAATGAGCAAGAACAATAATCAGCTGAAGCCTGGTAGCCACTCAGCTGGGCTGCCTAGGGCTCAAAACTCCTTGTTTCATTTAAAAACTAGGAGCAGCTGAGAAAGTCAATGGCCCAGTGGAGACAATCTGTTTTACATCAGAAGAAGCACAGAAACCTGTTGTGTTTTTGTTTTTTTTTAAAAAAAAAGGTGCTTGCAATCTATTTAGAGGCACTATTTACTTATTATTCAGTAAGGACTGTTCTTGCTTGCAGTCAGTTTAGAATCACAGCTCCTACTGGAGAAAGCAGTTTCATGAGATGCTGTTGACAAGAATTTAGGTCCTCAGACCAGAAGTCCAGACTGTAGGGTAAGTTACAGATCTTCTTTCCCAGCATTAGCAAATGCCTGGGATAGCTCTGGTCTGAAAATCCCAGGCATCTTTACAGTCCATCAGAACATGGAGGTGGATATGTGTGAAAATGTCCTTCTATTTTTTGAGTGGCTCTAGCTAAAAATTTTTAGGGTGACTGGGGGAGGAAGCTTATGGATGGGTTTTCTGAGATGGGGAGAAAGAATAAAATGGGGTCATGTGCTTTGTCTAGTTCAGCATGTGCTCCTGGTCATCTGACACTGGTGTACCTCTTCCCAAAGTTGATGTGGCTATGCTCAAGTCTGGAGTGGTTATTTTGGTGTTGTTAGTTGGTCACAAAACCATCTGCTGCTTTTTGGCTATCAGTATGGAACTTGAAGAGAACACTAGTCTGTAACCTGCCTATGGAGGAAAACCCCAATGTCCTCCTAGCAAGCTTCTGATCCTCCCTTTGTACTTGCCCTTGATACCTTCTCTCCACTTGGTAGCTATGTGCCACCATGATTTGCCTTGCTGCTGGGAAGGAACAGCCAGCAACTGTGGGGGCTGAGATTACTCTTGTTCTTTGATCAGCTGCCAGGAATGCAGCATCCAAAATGCACCACTTCTCTTGTGGATACACCCGCATTCTCCTGTCCTGGGCAGCAGCAGGACCAAGGTCACTTTAAGAATCTGCCCTGGAGAGTGCACTGTGAGGGCTATTTATTTAGCCAGCTAAGATGTGGAAACAAGATACATAGTTCTATTTATTTTTCCCAGTGGCAAAGCTCTGGGTTATTTAGAAATAGTCTCCCATGCTCCAATTGACCTTCTCTGGGTGGATGCCAAGTAGCTCTGATTCCCCTGAGACTGTGACTCATGGACTTTATCGGCCTTAGTTAGGCATTTGAGGTCTGCAGGTTGCTGGTGCCATAACTGTGTGGATCTCTCCATGACTACCCACATGTGAAGTAAAAGCCACATGAAAAAATGTGAAACTCGCAGAGGCTTAGAGAATTCTTGAGTTAAGCACTGTGAAATCCAAGTAAGGTGGAGACTCTAAACTGTCTTGCTCATCTCTCGTGCTGTTGTGCTGCAGAGAAAGTTTTCTGACACCTTTTATAGGGAGAGTTTAAAATAAAGCCAGATGATGTTCTGTTTTTCTCAGTTCTGTTTATGTCGGTAGCTGGGATATCTGATATCGGCGTGTGTGGGACGCTCAAATCTTCACTCCATCAACACCTTCTCTAATGCAACACCCCTGATGCCCCACAGAATGCAATGACCACTGCTCCTTTCACATTCTACCTCTCTTATTCCCCATATGTTCCATATCTTCTACCATCCTTCTACTTTACAATGTTCCTTCCAATACCCTTGCTCATTTTCCCAACTTACTTCTCCTGAGAGATATTGGGATTTGTTGTGGGCAGATGGACATGGAATGTGATGGTGGCAGATGTTTGCTTTGTGGCCAACCAGGAGCTGGGTCTCTTCTGCTAGACTGTGTCTGGGTGGCCAAGCATCAGATATCCTCCCCAGGCTGGTGGCTTTGAAGGCTGTATGTTGTCTGTGGCTACATATTGTGGGAGCCCCTTCTAGGACTCATTGAGTTGGAGGTAGATTATCGACGTGAGTGAAAACAAAAATCCAGAATTTATGATTCTTTCTTATGAGGAAGACCTGTGTTTTAGAAAATGACAAACGATACTATGACTTGTCTGAGTTGTTCCCTCAATATCGCTTTCTTTTTCTGTTGTTAAAATGTTGTCAGCCAGTCTTATTTCTGCAGTTTTATTAAAAGCAATTTAGAGAGTCTTTTAAAATGTCTTTGTTTCTTAGAGCTTTTTGTGAGTGCATCTATTTGCTACACTGAGCAGAGCTGGCTACTGGTAAGTGATCAGATAAACCTCATATGAGAGATTGCAACAAGAATGAGTATTCGTCAATTAAAAACTGTCTTTCTGTGAATATTCACAAAACTTGGCTTTCTGCACTGGGCTGTTCCAGTAAAGTTTGACTACTTAATTAAAAGTGGAAAGTGAATAAAAAAGGTCTGGGAATGGTGCCAAATTAATTCAGTAGAAAATGTGACATGCAGAAATTATCTGCCTTTGCTCGTGTCCAGCATTGCCTGCTTCTGACATTTAA